TCCAATGTTTTATGCATCTTGTTAATTGACCAGGGAACCAGTAAGATGGTTCCAAAAGCATGTGTTGATATAATACTTATGCATCCTTAGAATTCTAGGCTCTTTTCTTAAAAAGTGTTAGAACAAGATAAGTTGGTTAGAATTAAAAGAAATGCAAGAAAAGGTTAATGGCTGACAGGGCGATAAAACCATAACCTTTAGGGTTATCTTTCCCCTGCACAAAAATCTAAAAGATAACAGATGACTTCCGGATTCTGTGTTCTAATCAAATAGTAAACAGCAAACTGAGAACAGGAATTAGAGTAGAATAAAAATCTCTACTCTGTTAAATAAAACCGCTAATAGGCATTGATAGACATGTTAAACTTTTCCTTGATTTTTCAAATTCTCCTTAACAATAACTAATCATGAAAACACTTTCTTTTCTATACATTCTTCAGAGAGTCTCTTAAAAAGCACAAGACATATTCCTCAATAATTTTAATGTCAATGAAGTAGCAGTTTTATATATGCCATACTGATATACAAAATGAGATTAGGTTGAACAATCCCTACAAGCATTGGATAAACCAAAGAAATTTATAGGTCACTTTTTTTTAATGCAGCAGATTCAGAATCATTTTCTCCCAAATAATGTCATTTAAAAAAATTGCAAGTCCATTTATCTAGATGTATATAGAGCTGTGTTCAGCTTGTGAAAATGTAAGGTATGTACCAACTTTATATATTATGTTCAATAAATAGATAAAAGTACAGAATATATGGTATCACCCCATATATAAGTAGGTAATATAGTGTAACACACCCCAAATAAGATAAATTTACCTAAACAAAAGCTCTAATGCAATGATTCTGGAAATCACATCTCAAAGTAGCTCTCCAAAAGGTCCAACTCGGCCTCTGCATGCGTTGCATGCCAATGGTCCATAAACTACTGCCTTAACTATTCAAAATATCAGCAACTATTGATAAACAATATAGGATAAGGGGGAAAGCATGTGTTGTCTCAGCAGCACTATAGGAACAGAAAATTAAAAATATATATGAGATGAAAGGCAGGAAACGTCTGTCAACAAGGATCCCTGTGTTACACTGAAAATGACGTGCCAGGAAAAAAAAGGTAGACAGTTAAAACCTCAGTGCCATGTATAAACCTGATTCTCAGATATACCATGCTTACTCTCCACAATTATTTTGTGAACAAATACATTTTCTAATTGGGTAGCACATCACGAAATGGTTAGCACCTTGACCTTGGACTTTCCAACTTCTGTGACTATTAGAAAATGTTTTTTAGCCAAGCTTCCTGTGGTACTTGTTACAACAGCAGCCCAAACTGACTAATACAACTCTTCTGTCCTTCCTGTTCTTGCCAAGGTTCAGAGCTCATCTCATTTCTTGCCTGAATTACCGTAACAGTCTCTGAACAAATCCCGTGGCCTCATTTCCTTGAATTAGTGAATTAATAACACCTAAACAGGATAAAGGCTAAAATTTTTAATGGTGCCAATACTAGGGCTGGTCTAACAAAAATAACAGCAATCGGTGATGAAAACAGCAATTACCTTCCAGGCACCACTCCTCATATGTTTCCTGCACTGTAGGTGTTCCTATGTACTACCCAAGGCTCAAGTTCAAACATGCCAAACATCCTACCAAACATCCTTCATTTCCTTTAGCTCACTAATGTTAATTATCATTCCCCAGACAACCAACTGCTTAATGGACCCATACCTTCTGCATATACTGTATCTGCCTGCAAATCAAAACATTTGCAAAATCCTATGTGCTATTTAAAATTCTAAATAGGGAGGCATTACTTTCTCTGTGGAGGCTTCCCATGAACCCATGAGAATAGAATGAATTACTTCTTAACAAACATCAATAACTAGATCTTAGAAATTTCCAGAGTGCTTGGGTCATGTTTAGAGATAAGAGGCTTATAGGTAGTAGAAGTGAAGTGGTTAAGCAGCCTTTGTTCATTTTACTTTTGTGCATGTGAGTCTGTGGATTTGTATTTTAATAAACAAAGCCCTTTCTTTTCCTTGGAGAAGCAGCATATACTTCCTGGGTAACTGACTCAAAAACAAAGACACCAAATGCTCTAAGTAAAACCACCCTCTCTGCTATCAGCATGCTATTGCTCAACATGCTGAATATGGCTAATGAATCTAATGAATTGGATTCCCTTTTGTGACCCAGATGAGGCTCCCTCCAGCAAGCCCCCAATCCTCCTGGCACTTTAATGCCAGCACCATCTTCCAATCAGGGAACTGTTTAACTGTCTGGTCACCCAGAAGTGTCCACCAAAACATCGTCATATACAAAGAGTCAGATCTGCTGAACTCTATAAAAGTCTACCAGGCACAAACTCCTTACTATATGAATTTGAAAGCCTCCAGGATTTATCCTCCACTTTGGCACAATGGCAAGCCAGGCCTAGGTCAGTGGCTCCTCCAGGTACTAGTGTGTGGCTGCTCTACAGAAACACCTATTGAAATAGGTCTAGGAGTTTATATTTGTAAATCTCCAACAATGACAGAGATGCTTCATAAAATTTAGTAAAGGAGTTTTTAAATTCCTCACGTATATGCTTTATGCCCTCCTACACCCACCAAGCCTTATCACCCTCTTCCCTAGGGTGTTATGCCCAATCCAACACACTGCTCACGAGTCTGGAGTCAGACTCAAATTTCACCTTTTCCACTTTCTAGAGTTATAAATACAGGCACCAGTCTGTATCTACCTTGCCATGAAATGATATTTTCAAAGGTACCTCAGTCCTGGTAAAGATTAAATGAGAAAATCCATCAAAAATGCTAAAATAGTGTTCAGTAGGTGGTGAGTGCTTAAGTGAACATTCACTTCCATATTTATTTTATTACTAATCATTATCTTCCCACAGTGAAATCTTCACCATTTCTTGAAGCCTAACTCGAATATACTTTCTTTCGCAAGTTATCTACTGAACAATAAATAACCTGTCTTCTCTGTTTACTTCAT